ACCGAACCACAGATTCGGTTCAACCAGTTTGGTCCAATCTGGTTCGAATGGGTCTAGGGTTTGATTTTTAACATGATCTGAAATTAAATTACTGAAACAAGACATTCAAGAATCAGTAGGAGGGCTGTTCGTAGGACTGCTACCCTGGAAAAGTTAGATCGCAGCATGCAGTTTCCAAAACTGCAAATCGCAGATGAACGAACCCTAATCTGCGAAAATCTCCTCCTTGCGTTTTCTGCTTCAATTTCGAATGGAATAAAATAGAAAACCTAATTTCTATTAATATTACATCAAATTGAATTCCTATACATTTTGTCTAAAATATAAAAAAAAATTATTTACAGACCAAGAATGTAAAAGAACAGCAAAAACGCAGATTTCTTGCGCCATTAACGATTTCGATCTCCACTGTACGAACAGCCCAAAAATCAAGAAAAATATGCAGAACAATTCTAAATATAATTCAGATTTATAAATATTTAATTTCAGATCAGTCGCCCAAAATCTGGGAACCGATTTCCCAGAAAATCGTTAATCTACGCAAATCGGGTAAAATGCCTTCTGCCCATTTGTGCAGTTCCAAATCAGGTTAATTTTGGTTCAAGATTTGAACCTGGCTCTGATACCAGTGAAGGGATGAGAGATCCATCATATGGATGGCCGAACCCTATAGGAAGGTTGGGCGAAATTTCAAAAATTTCTCTCTCCCACGTGGGAATCACATGCCCTATTTTAGAAAACTGCATTTTCAAGGATCAATCTTGAACCAAAACCATGCCAGATCTAAAACCAAAAGGGAGTGGATGGTTATACCTGATACGAAGTAACAATAACCTCCAATGAAGGTGTTCACGCCCAAGGATAGATCCAAAGACTACTTCCACCGAAGATGACACGGTGTATGATGAAGCAGAATCAGCAGGATGGCTCTTCAGCAAGAACGTGATGGAGGGCTAGTGAGCACGACTTCAGATTACCTTTTCTGCAAAAAGGTAATATCAAGAACTCTTCTTGATCGCTCCCACAGGTGGAAATCGAATTGGTATGGCGGCAGGAACAGGAGAGAGCAAGAGCAGAAGACAGAAGCAGTCAAACTGTATGCTATCCTCTCTCTTAAATCAGTAGACTGATGGATGATCTGGAGGTTCGCTCTGCTCCTCTATTTATAGCCTTAAAGAGAGGTTCTCCTAATCACATTAGGAGTTTCCTAATCCAAATCTTGTATTTGGATCTGGAATCTCTTTAAGAGATAAGGATAATCCCTCATCTTATCCGCAGATAAAGGTCAGCCCTCCTAATCTAATTAGGAGTTTCCTTGTCCAAATCTCTATTTGGTTCAGCCCAACCTCTGTTACAAGGCCTGGCCGAATTCACTGTAGGAGACAATGAACCCCTGAGTCCATCACCATGGGCTCTTAATGGGCCCAACATTTACACTAAATGGTC